GCGATTTAATATAGTCTCTTACATGTTGTCGCGAGTTTCGAGACTATAATTTATCAGTTTTTGTCCCTGGAAGCTAAAGCAGAACAAGTGAAACAATTGAGCCATAATGAAGACGAAATATCTCATCGCTTCCGCTGATTCGTGCAGCTGCGTTGAGAGCTTGAACGCGAGAAAGGTAACATTCTGTTTTAGTTCTTCATTACATTACAGAATTTTGGTATTTGCCTATTTGTAAGTTACTCACTTGTACCAAGGTAATGCTCAAGCAGATTGTAATTAATAGGAGTTGCACGGCGAGCGATATCGAAAAGGTATCTTCAAGAATTTTAACAAACCTACAGTAAGAATATATAATATTGATGATGATTAATTATTGTCAAAGATCATTTTAGTTAATTAACATCGAGATTATAATAGAAGAGAAACGTGCTACGATATATTAATTATTGCATACTCACTGCAATGCCTTTCGATGAGCTTGGATCGAAATAACAACGTTCTTGTAATACAAGGAATTCGAACAATCAATTGTACTTTTTTCTGCATTACTACGTTTATGTGGTACATGCTCAAATCTATATCTGCAAGTATTTATGCAACATAACATTTTTATGAGAGTTTTGGCAAATTAATTTCTGTCTCTTCCAAGTGAACGTATGTACATGAGCTAAAACTATTATTACATTATATTTACTCTTCGGTAGACTTTTATTTATTTCTTAGCCATAAAAAATATGATTTTATACTTTCAGTATAAATAATCATTACTTAACGACGGCGAAGAGGCCGCAGGTGTGTTCGATGTAGGTAAAGAACATGCAATCGTGTGCGATTAACCCGGTTAAACACGCAGTGGCGCAAATTATCATGTGAAGAAAAATATAGTAGAAATATCGATTTTCGTCAACGAAATAGTATGCCGGATATGCTAACATTATAGGGCGGGAAGTATTCAATGGAAATACAACATCCAAAATGCGTGGCACGAGAGAGGTTGTTGTAAATGATATAGTAGATAGGTAAACATACGCTGCAACGAAAGCAAAATTTATAAAAAACGACTGTCTGCTAAAATATCTCTTAACTTTTAACTAAGAATTCTGCTGTTAAAATTGTATTTTGTTCCAAGATTTTTCCTTTTTAATTCATATCTTTTTTTATGTATGTCTTCTCTCTTTGTCGAATGTAAAGTACTTGGCAGAATATCTCAATGTCATAGCAAAATATAAATTTAAATTTTTCAATTTTAGCTTATATTGACTAGCAACTTTTTTCAGAAAGAAAATACTTTATAGTTTATACCATGTTTTTTTTGTACTTGGTTCCAACATGGTAGCATCAGTTATTCATAGACTGATATACTGATATCTTCTTTATAACTAATTTGAAGTATTTGTCTTAATTAATTGTAAAACACTAAATGCAAACATATTATCTTAACTTAATTTTTTAATTGCACAAGGAAATAAATTTCCTTGATTCTCAGCTAAAGTAAAGAAATTACTCACAGCTGTATATCAACACGTACCATCTGCCATTTTCGGCATACTTTCTCATAATATCGCGTTCTGTTTTAGTCTCGAGCATATCCCAGTCTAGGAATAAGCGATCTGTGAGATGTTTAATCTAAAAACATCACCGATATATTCGACATATCGAATGCAATATCAATGATTAAAACATCAACAAGGTCTAAGTTTTGCTATTAGAACGTACTTTGCGACTGTTAAATTGATAAGTGAAAATTTTCACCGGAATAATCGCTGCCAGTATGTGTGGAGGTAAAGTTTCAAAGATACACTTCATGTTATCGCATACGAAAAATCTTGCCGCCTGAAAAATGTGATTGCATTCGCGTGTATTCGACGCGGTTCTTCACAAAATTCTACTCTGAATTATTTCCTTTCTTGAAGAAGAAGATCTCGATAATAATTAACGTTACCTGTGTAAAGAGTACATTGACGTCAAAGAAGAGTATAAGAATCAAGAAAAACAAACTCTGCTTCGGCTTCTGATAAGGCCACTGACCGACTAACTCCAGATACCTCCTACAGATATCGTAATAATTGTCCTGTGTTCTCCTGAGTTCCATATTTCACGAAGCAAACAGTTTTCTTAGCACTACACTGTTATCTGAATTTCTAGGCTTCTCTCGGAAAGCGATATCTTTTTCTAAAGGCTCCTTTTCCAGTAAGTGTCGGTTATAAATAAGTTAATATTTCGGATACCGCTTCGCACTCCCTTTACCTGAGGGTATGATTGCATAGCGATCACGCGTGTTTCCGTAGGCGACAGGCACTTACGATAAGTATAGATTCCAAAATGTAACGCAACATATGGTTTCATATAAATGTAACGTATTAATAATCAATATGCGCAAGTGAACGACTGACCGTTTGAGAAATACTCTATGGTTCTTATTAAATACGCTGGAGAATACAAAAAATGTATATAATCGCACCGAACAGTTCTCGAGCTACTACTCGCGATAACTTTTCGTAGAAAACGACAGTCTTGCAATAAACTTCGGCGAGTGCAGTTTCGCTCTTTAGATCGTGCGATTCCACGCGAAAAAGTATTGTGGTGAAAGTTAAAATATAAAGCTCTCATTATTCTGGGATATACTAAAATTACGTTCTATGCTATAAAAAAATTATTGTACTTATTTGTATATTTTCAATATATAATTTAAACCAAGCAAATTCCACTACAAGAGAGAAGAAAATTTTGTAGTCTATGGTTTTTTTTTATATTAATTGTACCATGTTCATAATAAAATATACAATATCGATTTAAAAAAAATGATATATAGTTCAGATGCAACAAAATTGTCTGATTCACTAATAAAGTGTAAACATTGTTTAATATATATACTTTATAAATTTAAAATTTTTATATATCTGTGTAACTTTTTACGTTGTGCATCGCAGTATTTATTAGAGTATATATAAAACACAATGTCGTTATATTTCATTTTTGCAACAGAATATAAAAAAATTATATTTTTTATAAAACTTGTACTTAAATATTTTCTTTATGTAGCTGCATAACAGTTTCACTTACCCGTAAATCTTGGGAGACTTCGATTTCCGTATCAGGATCCGCCGGTGACTAAATTAATTATCCGTCGTCGTCGCGCGAGATTTTGGGAGCACGCAAAACACAAGGCTTGGTAGGATATACAGATGACATTTATTTAATTACTTTATTATTTTACGCTACTGAATACTATACTCGTAGTAGGTATTTCTATAATTATGTCGATAGATCATGCGTGAATCCGTAGAATGCGTGAGGTCTGCCGCGCGAGTTTTACAGCCCGTGTGTGAACGCGTGTGTTATAATGATTACGACGCGTGTGTAAATTAATTACAAGGAGGAGAAGGGGGGCCCGGACGCGAGGGTGGATGGGGAGGGTGGACGCCGCTCCGAATATGCGGGCGCGCGCCCCCGTCGAAGAAGTCGCCCCTCTCGACGAATCGTCGACCACGCGTCGATCAAGCTCCTGCCCGCTCCGGTTTCTCCGGCTGATCCGCGAAGAACTGTGTGTGCGCGCGCGACTCGATTTTATAATACCTAAGTTTCTCTTTCTTCATGCCCTTCGGTCGCGATCGATATCGGATCGGTCCCTCTCGATCGCGAATGTGTAAAACTAATAAACGGGGGCTCGATCACTATCTCGAATTCCGCTTTCAACTCTCTCACTGGCGGCGTCTCGATTCTTCATTCGGTCTCGCGAGAAGACCCGTCACAAAAGAGAAATGCCACGTCTGTACGTCGTGACTTAAATAACTCACTCTCGTTTAAAATAGTGAAAGAGTTAAACGCGCCTTTCCTCGGGGAAAGAAATTCTTTTTTTCTATCTTTCTCTCTTTCTTTTTTACACACTCGTCCGCTCGTGTCGCTGCCGAAATACGTTTTCTTAAATAAGGAATGCAAGAGGGACGAGATAATGATTGAGTCCGAATACATACATTTAAGAACTTAGCAATATACATATACAAGGACGTATGTAACATAAGGCGCAACTCCCATCTAGGGATTGCGGTGATCCGTCAGCATCTCGTCCGACTGGACCAAAGTAACTCGACAATGAAATTATCAATATCCTCCTCCGTCGCGATACATCTCGATTCATCATCATTTAGATCTGTTCTTATTCGCTGCGGCCCTTTTCACGCTTTCTGCACTTAAAACGAAGCAACTATATGTTTACGCTTTGGAAAGAGAAAAAAGGAAGAGGAAAAGCGTAGAAGGCCGCATCCAAAAAGAACAGACTAAACGGATTAAACGCCCAGGGAGAAGATCCGCAGAAAAACTTCTTATGGAACTCGCATATTCTATTCTTTATACAAAATACCTATGTAAGATATCCTGAATTCAACGCTAGAGAGAGAGCGATCGAGATTACCATTTTTTTTCTCTTATCTCCTCCGAAAAAAAGAAATAATAATAATTACCTGTGTGCTAAATTAATCTGTAATTTATCGACGGATTACTGGATGCGATTTGATTTTATGAAGGGGACGATGCTCTTGAAACGAGTCTGTTACAAACGTATATAATTGATGATCGATGATACAGGAGCGAAATTCAACCGGCGTATTTTTTCAATGTTTCAGATATCTGGGTCAATGGGACATCCTCAAAGCAAAACGAAATGTCGGTTTTAAGTGGAAAACGCATCGTATGTAAAATCTAACAGCAATTTCTTTCATGTACGGCATATGATTCTCACGAGTTGGAATTATTGAAAAACGCCGCGCTCAACTCACTGTCTATTAAAATCGTTAACAACAGAGATCCCCTAACAATCATTCATGACCGGTCACAAAGCACATGGGTCAGGTAATCATTTTCTCAGCATGTGAATATTTTCATTAATTTAGTCATTAGATATGCGTGTTTTTCACAAATCGTAAATACTTGATGACCAAGGTTTAGGCAGTCTCTATGCATCAATAGAATAATAGAATAATTTATATTATTGAATAATAATTGTAAAATAATATCTATCATGCAAGGACTGCGCTTAAATAAATCGAAATTGAACTACTCGCGAAAGAATGACAACTCTCTCACGAAGAGCGACAATATATCACAATATGCTTAATAATTAGAAAATAATTATTCAATGACAATATATGTATAATTCAGTCATCTCTTACGATCTGTGAAGATAAAGATTAAACGTGCTAGATTGAAATTTTAATATATATCTTATAAATCACACAATTAGTCACGGTGCATTAATCCTTTTTCAGCAGCGTAAAGGAATTCGTGAAGAAGCGTCTAACTTCCACGAATAGCCAAGTTCGGTTTTTTGTGAAAGAACACGAAATTACATATTAAACGGTGCGATATGATGAAACGTCACCGACCACAACTGATCATCGCGGAACGCAGAATCGCGGAAAAGTAGCAGAAAAAGCAGAATACTTTGTAACCGGCTACAGGTAGATTGAGCACCCTTCCTTCCACCGTAAACCTGTTCGTATCATTCGTGGCGAGATAAACGCATATTTATCGTACGGTGGAAATGAATTTGGTCCTCGATCGTGAATATCAAAGATTTCCCACATTCGGGCGACGCAGCTCTTATCCTCGCGGTCGTAAGCATCTTATCGCGCCACTGCTGACTTTACGTATTCGTGGTTATATAACAAAGTGTCCTTTTCTTTTTCTTTTTTTTTTATTTTCCTTTTTTCGGTCGGTCAATCCCTCTACGTGGCCCATGTCGCACGTGAACGCCCTCCTTGTTCTTGCGCTCTACGACGATGATCAGTAACCTGGACCACTTTGTACGAGCGACCTCCATCGATGCGACGGTGACGATGTTAACTCGACGATGTCGAGGGCGCAGTCAGCGGTCACTTGTAGCGGATTGGATAGTTGAGGAGAACCCTCGAATCAGACTTTAATTAACGATAGATTTTTCACAGTTTCATTGGCTATGATCAGACTATGGTCTGACTCTTTCCAAATTACAATCGGATCGAAGCTATAGAGGAAGAGTTAATCATAGTTGAGTTGGGCGACCGATCCTTCATTGCACAAACTTGGCTGTATAACAAAGATCTCAACGGAGATTGTTGCACGGAACGGATGACGACTGCGATCGAGAACATCATTTAGAAAATTCCGCGGGCTTATCCTAGAAACGACCGTGAACCTGATCGTAAAAATTTCAGAAGTTTAATCCTTACGCTAATGTAATACTATCACACACACGCACACTCTCTCTCTTTCTCTCTCTCTCTTTTCGTCATGTATTAAGTAAGATACTGGAACAATGTTCGCGGTCGCAGCCTAAGGGTGGACGTACGCTAAGCGAACGAATAACGGAATACGGTAAATGCGATTTTCAGCTGTTAAAGTTCGAGAAATATTCATCTCGTATAGGAAATGCAGAAAAAAAGAAAGAAACGATAATTAGACGAACATCCGATAACGCGTTCGATTGGCTCGCGAGAGCGGCACGTCGCGGGAGGTTTCAAGTGAGCTTACTCGTTCGCTCAGAATGACGTATCCACTCCATATACCATACCATGATAACAACTATCAATGTTCGATACTGTAACAACATCGCTGTGCGAGAACGTCGGTCGATGTGAGAGTCGCGCGGAAATCGATGCTCTCTTTCTCTCTGTCTGTCTCGGTCACTCCCGTCCTGACATCGTGTGGTCCTCCCTTGCAGCAGCGCGCGACAAAAAGGATGGGTCGCCAATGCGTGCAGGAGGGGTCTCTTGCGCCCTTCCTCACGGAGATCGATCTACGCCGTTCGACGGCTCGGAAAGAAGAGAGGAGAGGAAGATCTTATACATGGTGAGGTGCAGCAAAGGTTTCATCTGAGAAAGGGATAAATGGGAGAGGAAACGTACGAGGCGGGAGAGTGATTTCACGGTGGAGAGACGGGGGGAAAAAGGGGAAAGAGGGAGAGGGATGGAGATAGTTCTCGGACTAAAGGGAGAAAGGAAATCGATTGCGTTTATCTCTTATATTGTTAATTTGGTCTCGGGGTCCAACGACTCGTGAAGAGTTATTGTATGAAATAATCGGGGTGGTCTGAGTCCTTCTCAAACCTCTTCGCTT